TGTGTGCTTTAGCCTGTGCTGTGGAAACACGTGTTCTTTCACAGATTTAGAAGTTAATTCCTCATTGATTCTAAGAGTAGTCTGCTTTATTTATCAAGGCTTTGGCTTTCAGTCTGCATGTGGGCCACTCTAAGCCTACAGCTTTGATTTAGCAAGTTATGCTGAAATGAAATCTTGTAGGTTTCTATGAGTAGTGCAATTTACACCCAGCATACATATCAGAGAGAATGTGGACCTTTCCAACCTGTGCAACCTTCCTTAATAAAGATACAGTGACTGCAGTTGACCTCTTGTGAAAAGTAGATCCATTTGTGTTTTTATTCTGTGGCCTGAATAGAAGATATAACAGAATGGGCACTGTTCACTCGACGTGGGAATTCTCCCTTGCTCTGACTCATGTAGAGCAGCAGGGAGGGGGAGGAAAATGGGCTCCACAAACCTGGTATCCAGTTTTGTAATTTACAAAATCTTTTTGATCTGAACTTTGTACATTTAATATTCCGGAGGGTATTTAGAAGTTTGATAAAAGTCTGTAGTAGTGCTGGAGAAAGATAAGGCTCACTATTGTACTAAAACAGGGTTGTGGTGCCAAGACAGTATATTTATGTTTTTCTGTTGCAAGACTAACAGTGCCCATCAAACTTTGTATAATTTGCTATTATGCAGAGTAAAGATAAAAATACCCAGTCATTCTCTGAGTTGCAATACAAAATACTTTAGGCTTAATACTCAACTATATTGCAAACCAGTCCATTACCATGACATAGTGCTTCACAGTAGCTGGGAGAAATACAGTTTGGTGAAATTACCCATGTGATAGGGGCCAGGATTTTTTGTGGAGAATAAAAAAAATCCTTACTTTTTTCCCCATTATAATCAACTGTTATTTTGCCCATATGTTTTCTTATATGTCTTGCAGAGTTTTATGATAGGCTTTCAAAGCTGGATGAAATTTTCTGTTCCAGCATTGTGGTCAGTCAGTTTTTAGCATGCATAAAGGAACCAGTGTTCCTACGTTTTTCTTTGAGCCTGTGAAGTCAGAGTCGCAAGGAATAGAACAAAGCCTCAGAAGATATAACAGGAGCTTTTGGGAGCTAATGGGGAATTGCAAACTCTTTGTTTATTGCACCTGGCACTTTCTCAAAACCTGCCTTGTAGGGGCCAGACCAATCATTTCCTCAAGCAGATATGGAGGATGCTTTCTCTCCCTGAGCCAAAGCTCTGTAAGTTTGTAAATAAGATAGTTAAAATATATATTTTAAGAGTACTTTCTAGAGGGATTATAATTAATATATTTTAAACTTTTATCTCAGGAAACCTGAACTTCAGGACTAGTTAAAACAGTTAAGCTAAAAAGAAGTATGGACTTCAAAACCACCTGCAATCACAACAGCTATGACAACATGTATTTTGCCTGAATTGTCTGAAAAAAAGTTTTAAAGCATTCTGAACAGGCAGTAAATTGGGGGGGAAAAAGAAAAAGCCTGCCCCATTTTCAAGAGCATTCTGGTGTTTTTGAGACCCATGGCAGGAGCTCTGGGGAGCTTACCTCTGTTGGTGCCCCAGGAGAGGGGAAATATAAGGAAATGTGTCCCCTGCATCTCCCAGGTTGTTTCAAGGCAATGAGTCAGGACCATTTTTCACAAGTTTCTCAATATGCATATTTTTAATTTCTGTTGTTGATATAATTCCATGGATCTTGTTTGATAGACATAGTCACAAGGGTCAATCTGTCAGATAAGACCCAGGAGCTAACCAGACCTTCTGTTCCTTATCCATCTTTTCTTAAATCTTCATTCTTCTGAATTAATCCAGAAGATGTAAATAGGGAAATAATTCTGTATAATTCTCTCCTTACAGGCAGTCTTTCTGATATTTGGACAATGCACAGCAAAATTAACTGTGTTAATTTTTCATCAGGCAAACAGAAGCAGTTCTCTAGAGTAGAATCCATTGACTGATTGTTCAAATTTAAGCTCTCTTTCCCAGTGTTTTGAATTCATGTTTCCATCATGCATTGAAATAAGATTTTTTAATACAGTTAGACTGAGCAATTCTTTAATTAATATTTATAATTTATATTTTAATTTAATGCAAAAGTCAAAACACTTGAACTGTCATATAGTAAACTGTAACTAACACCAAAGCAATGGAGTTGACATGAAGGGTTCTAACTTCATCCAAACAAGTTTGTGTATTTAATGAAAGGGAAATGTTTTAAGTGTATTCCCTTAGAAAAATTTCCCTTAAGAAAATACTAGTTTTATAAAAACATTGAAATTCTAATTATTTCTGTGTTTTCTGGGAGAGTATTTACTTTCTTAGCAGTTTTGAATTCAGCTTTCTCTGTGGGACATCACTCTGAGCACATGAATGCTATAATACTGATTTTAGTAGGAATGACTCAGATGACTTTTAATGCAAAACATAAATGACCTGAAATTTCTTGATGAGAAATCTAACACAATGGAGCAGACTACAAAGTCGCCTGTGCGAAATATGCTAGAAGCAAAAAATCTTCAAGTATACTGTAGGGGAAAAAATGGAAGCTTTTTGTGGAAATGTACTATTTCATGTCTGTGACTTAATTTTGTTTTATTTCAACCTGAAATGAAAGCTTTATTCTTCAAGGGCAATAATGGCATGTTTTTGTAACTCCTTAGCTTTCAACAATAGTGTATAATATTTTGGTTCACCATTGTGTTAAGACTGTGTTTTTCTGACTGCTGTGGCATAATGATTTATTAGTGTTGACACTCGAGGGTTGTTTGTCAAAAGCTCAGCTTTTGCTCCTTCTGGCAGATTACCTACAAATTATGTAAATCACTATAGTGCTGGTTTTTAACCTAATTATGTTATACATCTTGAACAATGGTAATTTCTATAAGGGAAAGACATCTGGAATTTTAGTTGTTAATATATTTTTTCTTCTTTTGGTATTCCACAAAAGAAGCACATCAAAAAGCGATAGTATGCGTGCAGGTTTTTTTCCTACAGTTTATACTTCAGTTTATGCTGCTAAAATAATGTGAAAGCTGATCTAATTCTTTTAGGACTTCAACAATCTGTTTATACAAATTAGCAGTAAGCTGTAACTTCACTTACAGAATTTCACAGAGGACTAGAAAAATGTAATTTCTTTTTTCTTATATAGATACACACATCTATGCATTTTATACAATTGGTCTACTCAAATAACTACTGGATTAACAACAGTGATCAGACTTCTGTGTTCACACAGAGACAGACTTTCCATCTGTAGCATTGCAAACTGAAATACAGCTCAAGTCAATGCAGACAGAATTCACATAGTGAGGAAATTAGCCTGAGCCATGGTCCACAGAATGCACAGCCCAAGGAACTCCCTCCTAGCCCAGCCCCAGCTGCCTTCCTTGCCAGCTGGGCTTAGCAAAGCAGAAGGATCAAACTATCCCAGACAGGTCAGGGCTGAGGAGTGGTGGCAGGCCAGGACTGGGAGTTGGCTTTTATCATATCTGAGGTTTGAAGGAAGACATCTGATTTCTGGCCTGTCAGCTCTTAATTTGTTCACTGCATGCACACTTGTGGTTTGTTTAAAAAGTAACCTTCACATCACCTAGGTCCCATTTGACTTCGTTTGCTTGTCAACAGGAGCTGAGAAATCCAGCTACATTTTTAACCTTCATGGTTCTTGCTAGGCACTGCTTATTAACTTGAAGATTTTACACGGAGTTTTACGTAACTTCTTGTAATGATCTAACAGAAAATAGGCAGTGTGACATGGTTCATTTGGGCTGCATGTCCTTGGGTTGTATTGCTCACACCTTATTAGTCTTCAGCAAATGTTCCACTTTCCTTTAGTTTTGGCAAGCTGCTTGGAACACCATTTCCTTCTTTTCATTCTGGTGGAGTCCAATTGTTCTTTGCTTATACTACATTAGCCTTTCCCAGAATTTAGCCTGGAGTTTTTATACACCGGGGAGTTTCCAGTGTGTTTAGATTATAAAATGATTTCCTAATGTGACTGTGAAAGAACCACATTTTCAGATAACACTGTCAAACTAGATTTCAGTGCCATTTTTCTGTGTTCCTTTGCGGTATTTTGCTCTACAGAAATGATGTAAAAAATAATTTTGTTCTCCTGAAAATGTTATTTTTCAAATCATCCACCCAAGTAGTTAGGATTGTCCTAAATTTTTTTCTTGTTCTGTTTTTCTTTAGGTTTATGTAAATCAATTGGCGTAAGCAATTTTCTTATCAGCCATCTTGAGCAACTAAAGGAGGACTGTGTGATTACTCCACATGTTAATCAGGTGAGTGGATACATGTATTTAAAGTATCTGGGTTTGAATTTTCACTTTGGTTTTTTTGGTTAGCAACCTCCTCCCCACTCCTATGTATAAAAGGCTACACCCAAGTATTGCTTTAGTCATCCAATTTCTTTTTTCATTTCTATTTGCGTATTGAAAACCATTCCGGAAGATGACCCGAAGGGTAGGGAAGTTCTTCCTCAAATTTCCCCACCCAGTTTCTCTCCCAGGCTACTTGTTTGTGTCTGGGTACACAGACAAACAAATGGTCCCTGTGACAGTTTTTGGTGATAAAACCGTTTAGAAGTAAAATTCCAGAATCGCAGAACATTTAGCATCTTCAGAGTGAACCAGTTTTTGGAAAGCCTCTGTTTGAATACTTTTGTGTTCCTGTAAGCAACACTGAGTCAGTTAATTACATCTCCATGTAAGGATGCCCTTCCCTTGCTCCCCCCTCATTTCCTAGTTCACATGAATTCAGTGAGCTCCTGCTTTAGGCAGGTGCTGTGACAGCCCTGCAGAATGTTTTTGCTGCCCTAGGCAGATCTAGGATGGCCACCTACGTACCGGCAGGCTGCCAGGACACTCGACAAATGTTCCCTTGTTGCAGGTTCTGCCTACAGCTGTGCTGGAAGTTCATGCTCCCATTGCTTCCACCTCCTGCAGATAGTGTGTGTGTGTGCTGACATGGATGTGGGAACTGCAATGGATGGAGTGCAGGCACAGGCTTTCCCCTTTGTACAGGTGGTCAGGATTTCTGACAGCTGTTTATGGTTTAATGTCATTAACAGCTATAAAAGTGTTGCCAGAGTGTGACTGTCAGAACCAAACAACTCTGATTTTAGCTGTCCACTATACTAAAGGTTACTGAAGGGCAATTAATTAATTTTAAATAAGCCTAAACCCATATACAATATTTAAATCCAGTTATTCAAAATAAACCATGGAAATATATGTTAAGGTGGGCAGGTTGATGACTGTTTAGTAATTGGTGAATTTACCAAGGTTCAAGAATAACACATCTACAAAGACTTACTAGAGTTTGGCATGAATTGTAACTGCCTGTTAAATAATAGTAGCTTTTCAGTTTTCTACTAAATCACTTCAAGGAAAAAATAGTGATTTTGTTTTGAAATTTCCTCTTACTCAGTGTCAAATGTTACCAGTCTTACTTTTTCAATAGTGTTCATGGCCACAAGCTGTTTCTTGGTGCTATTTGCTTTTTCTGAGGCTAAAAAGAGGATACAAAAAGTTGAGGTGGTGGTGATATTGAGGGGTGGGAGAGGGCCCCTGCTGGTAATTTCTTTGAGATGCTACACAGCAGTTGTGAATTGAAAACAAAAACCAACAGTGAATTACCCATACCATTGCCAAGTGCTCCACCTAAAACAGTTTTGTTATAGCATTAATTCATATTTTTAGAGTTAAAGGAATTTTATAAAGCATACTTCAGCTTATCCTCAAAAAAGTATGTATTCTGTTTCTTGCTTGATCTTGGAGAGTTAATGAGTCTGATGGTAAGATTACTTAAGTACCATCAAATAAATAATGAATTTCTAAATTCAAAATGGAAATGCTGTACTGAGTTCTTATTTCACTGTTCACAATTTATAATACAGTTTTCCCACTATATTTATGAATAAAATAGTGTACTGTTTCAATGGGCTTACTAAATATAAAACATTTGCAAACAGTCATTGGATACAAAGTCTAAATATTAAAGAAACAAGTGGAGGAAAAATATGTCCCTTTTAGAGTTAAGAGTGTTACAATTACAACAGTCCCCTTATGATGTTAAAATTGAAAGTTGGGGTTTTTTTCTGTGAAAGGGAGAAAGTAGGAAGGCAGGAGAAATAAGCAATACTTCTGTTTTACTAACCAAGTTTCAAGTACTGCCTTTCTTCTCAGTTCCTGGGAAAAAAACAGTATTGTCTTTTAAAGAAGCAGACAAGGCCTGTCTTTTCAAGAATATAGTATTGCTGAGTTATTTATTAATAAGTAAGCACCTTTTAAAATTTCAATATACTGTTAAAAGTACTGGTAAACACTGTAAAATGATGGTACTTTATTCTAGCATCATGTAGAGTGAAACTTACAACCTAGTTCCAGGTTTGTGTGCCAGAGTTTTGTAATTGACTTGGCAGGAGCAAGTTTGGATTTAGGCTCAAAGAAATCTTTGAAATCTCTCTAAAGGTTCATTGCCCTGTTACTCAGGGGGAAAATAAATATTTTATAAGTACTTAACAAATATATATGTTTCATTTCCTAATGTGATGCACTGAACCCAAATATAAGCTGTTCCTCGGTGAATTCCATTTAGGAATTCAGTAGAGGAATTCAATAGAATTCAATATTTTTCCAGTCCTGGAGAAGTGTGAATTACTGTGTAGTGACCTCAGAGAGATTTACTTACATTGTTGATATTGCACTAATATTGAGCTCTACTGTGTCAATTTGTACAAGGTAGAAATGCATATAAGACATTAGAAAACAACACCTTTGTACATAAACTCACTTAAACTGTTCTTCTATATAGAAAGTACTCATAGGCTTGTATTTCAGTTTCATAAAGAGAAAAAATTGTAAGACAGCATTGCCATTGAGAAAATTACTGAATTCCAGATGTGCAGAAACTTTATCATGTGTAAAGGACTGCAGCAGGGTGGAAGGAGGTAAGGCCTCTGTGCATCATCTGAGGTCTGACTTTCTAGGGCCATGTGTAAGGGTGTTATTAGGCTCAGCTTTTCCCCATTTGCTATGACTGTTGTAAAAAAAACAGTGCTTTGGTTGGAGGTCCCCTGTGGCTGGGCATGCAGCAGCTGTGAAGTTCTGTAATGTGAGCTGCAAACTGTTCTGTTAACCAGATGCCAGTTTTTACATGCCAGTCAATCAGGGTAGGGTGCCAGAAAAGATCAAGATCTTCCTCTGCCATTATGTGACAGACGGCCCTTGCCTGAAAACGTCTGATGACAAAAATAGCAAGGGTGGGGCAAGACAGGAAGCAAGAATTGTTATTTTGAGGGGAAGGATATGTTGATCACTCACCTTATGCCTCTTGTAGCTCAGGATCCTCGTACCTTGCAGATGCTGCTAAAACCTTCCAGAGTGTTTTAATTAAAAGAAATAAAAATTCCAAGATGCTTATTTTATTTGATGCATTTGATTATTTTAGTAATATATTTAAGAAGAAAAATACGTGCTTCTACTAACACAAAACTGCATGTACCAAAATGTCAAAAATACAATTCACAAAATTTGGGAGCCTCTGGATTCAGTGAAAGGCAAAAAGTATGATCTTTTCAGGGGGGAAGTAGTTGTTGCTATGTATTCTGCTTGTGAAGCTTTCAGGTGATACCTCAGCATACTGCTCTTGATTTAAACATTCCTGCTGTAACCTGAAGCTGTGCTGCCTGGAGTCTTATTAGACCAGCAGGTAAATTCTACTTGCAGTTTAATTAGTAATAAATGCTGAATAAGTCACATGATGCCATAGAGGCACTGCAGATGTTTCAGCATTTGGTCCTAAATACATAATTTTTATTTAATATTTTTGAACTGCGTTATTTGCTATACTTACTATAAAGAACATCTGCTAGAATTGCTTATTACTCTTTTACTAATCCAGTAAAACACCTGGCTTGCTCTTTCACTTCTCCCCTCATAGTTCTGCATAGATTCAATGAGAATATTTCATATCCAGCTCAGGTGCAAACAAGGGAATAACTGTATGACCTAAGCACTGCTCTTACACATACAAACATGAAATACAAAGGGTACTCAAAGGTCAAGAAACATCAAAGGTAGAAGACATGGATGTCTGCTGTTTGAACCTTGTTCCCGAGTCCACCTAGTAATTTAGATCATAGCAGCTTTAGGCTGACTCAGCCCAGCCTTCCAGGGGCACAGTTTTTTCTTAGCTCACGTTGAATGACTGCCAGCCTATTGTTACTGGCTATTGTTGTCTGAAAAGACAACATGTACTAAAGATGAGAAACAGGAAATGTTCATTTGTCCTCTTTATGGCAGAAGAAATTTTCCAGATTCCACATATTGAGGTGATTGCTCAGAAGAGTATTTTTCTTCAAAATGCGTAAGAGCTCAGTCCCTGGAACAATGCTGATGACCAGTCACAAAAATGCATCACATGATTTTATATTTTGTTAAAGCAAACACTACCCACTTTCATCTAAATGCAGAGTAATGTGTGCTTCTTACAATGAATAGACTGTGAAATTCTTATTTAAATAACTTATTAAGGAATGTCACAGAGTTTCATTTCTGGTTTTAGCTACATGCCAGAATATGTCTCTCCTCTGAGATGATTACTCAATCATCAATTATCCAATAACTTCTTTTTCCTTTTGCTCCCAACAACTGTGTCTTTGTAGCTTGTTACTTTTCCTCTTTTAACTGGTTCTTGGCAATTTGTGATCTTCCTTCCTACAAAGGGTCTCCTTCACACCTCAGTTCCACAGTGTGATTGCTTCCCTGCACAAGCTGATGGTGACACCACACAGAACACAGGATTTGCCATGTGCAGTCCATGCCAACAGGCTTTGCTTCCAAGGTCAGGTCCTCACCCTAAGCAAATTGTTCTGGTTGGTCGCTTGCAAACCCAGCCCCTGCGCAGCCTCCTCCCCTTGCCTGGGCAGCTCAAAGATCACTAGAAAGGATTCATTAGTAAAGAAGCAGGAAAGGACATAGATTTGGGGAAGAGAAAGTAGTCTCAAAGTACCAGTAAAGGTGACTTGATGCTGACTTCCACTGTTCATTTGTATATATTTCTTAACAGTAGAACAATAGTGAAAGTCCAGCTGCAGGTCAGGCAGACAACTGCGCCTTGTTTCTGAGGGAAACAAAATGCAGTTAACTTTTTGTGCCAATTATTGGTAAAATATGTGATTACTACCATTCATGTATCTTCTAAAACTAATACCTTATGCCTACTTCCCAGAAACAGTGACTTTACTCATATTCTATTTTTAAAACAAGAGAGAAATTATTTTCATTTTTATTGATGTTTTCCACAAAATGTGTTTTCAGGGTTTTTACTGAGTTTATTTCTGTTTATCTAAGGTTGAATACCACCCTTTCCAAAGACCTCAGGAGCTGGTTGATTATTGTAGGAGCAGAAATATTGTTTTTGAAGGCTACTGTCCTTTAGCCAAAGGTGAAGCACTCACCCATCCTACTGTCATTCAGCTGGCAAAGAAGTATGGCAGAACTCCAGCACAGATTTGCATACGCTGGAGCATACAGGTAATGAAGGGTGGTAATAAAAATGTGTCTCCTTTCTCAGGAAAAAAATGCAAATTGTTTGGGGTTTGTGCATCAAACCAGAATTTATTTATACCAGAAGATATTTCTGCTTTCAGTATGTTGTTATTGTGTAAACTGGTGGCTGTACTGGAAGTTTAGAATGTAGTACACAAATCATGCCAGTATTTCAAATATTAATTATTATAAATAATTTGGTTGTAGAGAATAAGAGCCTCCACTAAGAAATGTTTCCAAAGTAGATGTTACAAGCAGTATTCCTCATCATTCCATTCCTGTCACTGAATATAAAGTACTAAGCAGTGAAATAATGTATTAAGTTGATATAAACCATGTTGTGTGTTGGAAATCAACACAGTGTATGTAACTGCAGCTGCAAATGACATGGAAAAATGTCAATGTCCCCCAGAAAATGAAATTAGAACCTCAGAAGGTGTGAGGAATTCATTGTAATGGCTTGAAGATAGATAATTTTCTTAAAATCTGCAAATTTTATTGATGAGAAGCATAATTCTTTACAGAATGGGATTGTCACTATTCCAAAGTCAACAAAGGCAGAATGGATAGAGGAAAACTGCAAGGTAAGATTTGGTTATGCACTCAAGCCTGGCTAACATCCAAGTAAGAGTTCTTAATATTTTGGGTTCCCTTCCCATTTTCCTTACCAGTTTCATACTGGGGTAACTCATTCAAAATTGGCAAATGGGTATTGTGAAATGACCACAATGTAGGAAAAAAACTGTAACTCACAAATATCAGAAAATACCTGGAGAGCTAATTACTGTGAATAAAGAAATTAGCAGTTGATTTTTGTAATTAATACCTGTCTGTTATTACCTGTCTGATTGTAGAACATCCTAATCTGGCTATGGTTACATTCTTTTTGTGATAGGCACATAGGTCAAATGGAAGGAGTTTGGATGCTATGCATAACAGTTTATGAAAGCTTTAAAACTCACCTGGGGATAGCTCCAACATAAAGACCTTCCAAGGAAATCACAGTCCACCTGCCCTGACTCTTCTCCTACCTTCTCCTTCTACTCAATGTGCAGAAAAGGTCCCAGCATGAAGGGACTGGACAAAGTAAAGTGGAAATGAATGAGAATTGGCAGTCTGATTCCTCTCTCGCACCTTTTCTAAATTTTCTTTTCATACCAAATAGTTTTAATTCATTACTTGTGTCTCTATTTCTCTAATCTGAAAGTGTTCTTTATTTAGGGTAGGCAAAACCACAACTTCTTTCCAAAAATATCATAGGGGTATGAACTGGCAAATCTGGAAGAAACTTTGCAAGAAGACAGGAATCTTCCATCTGCTGTTTTTATCCTTCTCTGTGTGTGTGTGGAGGTGTGAATCAATATACATGAGAATTTCTGCAGGTGGCCATGCCTGTTTATACAGCTCCTGCCTTGGCTGTTTATTCTGACATTCACACCGCCTTCTGTGGTACAAGCACAGCTGCTTGTGGTGCTGTATTGGGAACCAGATCAGAGAACAAAACCAGTTTGAAAATCCTTCTTTATACTTTTATTTTCCCCAATAATATTTGAAATCCAGATTAATTTCATTTTTTACAGAGTTTCCTCAATGGCACCCCCAATTCATTTCACACAACTCAGGGAATGTGTTACAATTCAAACTTAAAACACTTAAGGGGGAGAGAGGAAAGAACTGGCACAGTCTTTGTGTGTTGTTTATCACACCTCCCTTCTTTTTCTTTCCCTCATGAGTCTGTGTTGGCCTGAGTCTCTACCACTTCTGGTCAAGTTGGTCCTCATTAAACCCTCAGTATATAAAACATAGGGTTTCTAGTTCCGGGACTGGTCCCTGGCTTAAGCTTAAAAGGCTTGAAAGAGCAATGAGATTTGACTACAAGGATCATTCCAGAACAGTGGTTGCTGGATAATGCAGGATGGGAGGAGCTCATTTGGCTACAGTTCAGGTTCCACAGAATCTTTTTATTTAGCACAGAAGAGCTATGACAAAGAGAACAGAAGCAACTGCCTGATGATAATGTCTCAATAGGACACCTTCTAAGAAAGCACTGACACCATCGTTCACATTGCAGGTGTGGCCACAGGAGAAGGCAGTGGCTGGAAGAACCTGTGTTTGAAGACAGGTGAATGCTTTCCAGTTTGAGTTAGTACTGAGGCACTGTGGCACTTTTTCTGTATTTAGCTGATTTGTGCGAATTTTCTCAAAGTAGAGTCATAGAAAAGACAGACACAGCCTTTGGCTTGTTAGCTTTGTGAATGTCCTGATACCTTGTAAAAATTCTCTTTGTCTAAAGTTCTGAGAAAGAGAACTGTAACACTCTAAACTGAGCATTGGGATGTAAGTGAAATACTGAGCTCATTCTCCCAAAGAGATTGCTGTCAGGATATTCCTATACCTACCTCTGGAGTGACAACAGAGTGCTGTCAAAACCAGCTTTGATATTACCCTTGTCTTGGATCGTTGCCTGAGGCCAGAGTGCTGCAAAACCATCTTAACACAAATAAACATGAGTCACTAAAGGAGCAAAGGACCCAATGGAGCCTGTCAGCTTGATGGAGTATTTTTCTATGACAAAATATAAGAATTTTCTGAAGGAAGAATATATAAAAATTGGGCCTCACATGAAAGTGAATCTTGATCAGTTAAATACTAGAATGTATCTGAGGTTGTTGATTCTGTCTGTGCTCATGATGTTAACTGTATATGCATTCCCACAGGTGTTTGATTTTACAATAACAGAAGATGATGTTGAAATTCTGAATGGAATGCATGATGGGAGACATGTTTCCTGGGATCCAAGTTTTATTGTGTGAATCAAGGTTTGAGCTTTTCTTTGCTTTCTCAGGAGTCAGAGAGTCACACCATGTAATTTTAACTCAGAGAAGGTTGCAGTAAGAATCTACTCAAGATAGTGATGTCTGCTGATAATGATCACTGATTTGAAATCCTTAACATTGGCAACAGACAAAAGATATTTTTGAGGGTAACACTTTTGTACAACCCTCAAAGAGATTTTATATCTCCATCTGAAATACTGTTCCTCAGTCCATTGAAGTCCATGCAAAGGCTCCTATTTATACCACAGACCCCTTTATATATTAAAGACCATCAGGCTGTTTAATTCAAATGAGGAGATACTCCTTGAAAAATATAGGGCAAAAGTGCTACCTGTTATTGTGCCATATAGGTGTTGGGTATGAAATAATTTTTCCAGTATTTTATTAGAGAGATACAATATATGAAGAAGAAAAAAGTGGATGAAAAAAAGTTAATGTCATTATCATGACAGTATTTATGTTGTATAATATCCTGGAAATCTCCATGAAGAATATAATTTCATTGTAATACACAATATCTGAGAATGATCAAAAAAGTTTTATGCATATCACAGCATTACTGTGGCATTGACTCAGAGAGTTCTATGCATATTAGTTACTAGCCTAACTAGTAACTTTGGTAGATAAACCAAAGCAGTAATCTTTCCAGCCAAGTTCAGGTACAAATAAACTATTTGCAAGGCTGAAAGATGAGCAGCAAGCTCCATGAGCCAAAAATACATCTTTATTATTACTTACTGGAAATTGCGGTGAGGTTTTGGTAGCTTTTTGTGAGAATAAGTTTAGATTTCATTTTGGGTTTGTTCAGGAAATCCCATTAAGAGACCATACTGTTCCTCAGATTTTCTTATAAAATAGGTATCTCTACAGAGAGGTGAATATTGATAAATGTAGCTCACAGATCTGTTTTGAGAAATATGCCTGCAGAATCTATTGGCTTAGTATTCAACTTGTAGTCTCATTGGCTTGATATTTTAGGAGTTCCTGTGTCTAGAAAGGTATGGAAAATCTGATTATGATTTATATTGTGTGTGGACTTCCTGAGGCAGTTTTCCCAGTGCTGTTCTGCTTTAGTCATATTGTGAAACAAAGCTCCTTAGCTTTTTATCAAGAAGTGGCTTACAGCAATCACATATTCTAGCCTGCATTGTTTGTCCTCAAAGTGTAGAGCTTCTATACAGCTTGGCTAAAATCCAGACAAATTTACCTTTTAGATAACAGCTCCTCAGAGTTATTGTCTAGCTTTTTCTGGTAAACTTATCCACAAAAAATTGTCTAGATTTGCCTCTAGAATAATTTCTATGAAAAACAAGATATTGTAGGAAATGCTGCTCACCAATGCCTGCAGAGTGTGGTGTTCTGAGAAATATACACAATTTCCAGAGCAAGGCTATTTTCTAGTTTCAAGCCTGGCTCGCAGTCTGAGGAGCTCCAGTACCTGGGAATTATCTTTTAGATAACAAAATTATCTTTTAGATAACAAATTTATCTTTCAGACAAATTTATCTTTTAGATAACAACTCCTCAGAATTATTGTCTAGTTTTTTTTTTCTGGTAAACTTGTCCACAAAAATTTGTCTAGATTTGCCTCTAGAATAATTTCTATGAAAAACAAGATATTTTTTATGAAATGCTGCTCACTATTACCTGCACAGTGTGGTGTTCTGAGAAATATACACGATTTCCAGAGCAAGGTTATTTTCTAGTTTCAAGTCTGGGGGGGCTCCAGTACCCGGGAATGCCACTTTTGGTGTCTAAGAACTGCTCTGTGCCTGGCTCAGCTGTATGATGAGGGTTCAATAGTTCCAAGCAGTAAAGCTCATTTATAAAACAAATGTAATTTTTAGGCATTTTTTAGCTTTTACATGAAACTGTGGCAATGATTTAGTGAAAGTTGGAGAGATTGTCCAAAAATAAACCCTTCTACCAGTGGCTCTCAGCTAATACTGCTTTTGAAAAGAACAATGCCTTAGCAGTATGAAAAAAATTTGTGCTGTTGAGGGACTCCTTCCTTCACAGTGTATCTGAATTAGTGAAACAAGGACTAGAAGTGAGTCATGTGCCTGATATTTCCTAAATAAGGCTTTTGGCAGTGATGACTTTCTAAGAATTTACAAAACACAGGTTGGAGTTTCACCTCTAGTTCTCTCTAAAGAAACAGACGTTACATCAACATACTGCTTCAAACATAAATGGTGTGTCAAAGGAACCAAATCTTTATGTTGGCTAGCAAATTCTAGCTCCAGTGTGACCAGAACAGTGTCAGCTAGGACTACATGGCTAGAGCTCCATGCTCATTACAACACTGGGTTTTTGCACTTGATTCTGACTGATCACCTCCCTGTTCTGAGCTAATTGGAATTAAACCAGATTTTCTTGCCAATGCCCCACATAGGTGACCTTAGGCTAGTGTGAGAATGGCTGTGAGTTCAGTAATATATTTCAGTGTTCTTTCTGTCAAAGAGATTTTACAATGTTTTTGATGTCTGCACCTGCTTTTGCAAGGAAGGCAAGCCAGGATTTTCTCAGGCTAGATCATGCTATCTTAAACAGTTCAGTGAGTAATGAGAGGAATAATCAGGAACAGTATTACTAAAAAAGCATTCTTCTTAAGCTGTGGCAGGTTACAGTTTCAATCTGATACTTTTCTAACTACATTCAGGGCAAATTGTTGTTTCAGGCCTTTTTTCTTTGGTGGGTTTTTTCTCATTATTTTGTCATCTTTCCTAGAATTTTCATTGCTGCCAATTAGTGCCTTTAGAACTACAGAAGAATTTCATTTTAGCTATGTACTAAGTGAGGTGTAATCTGAGAGGACTCAAGGTTTTAAGTGCTGGGACTCAGCTCACCAAGCTATCTTTCTCCCCGGTGTGATGAGCAGTTTTGCACATTATGCCTCACTAATAGCCATTGTTTTCTGTTAGAAGCTATAATTGCCCAAGAGATTGAAACCCTGTTATCTCCTGTGGCCTTGGGATAGATCACTGAAGCCCCTTCCTTTGACTGTGGTAATCACAAGTTTTACATCATGTAAATTTAGAATCATTGAGCAAGTCCTCTTTTACTTTTGGTGAGGTTGCAGAAGGAAAGACAGACTTAGTGGATTCATATTTTGTGCCCCTATCTACAACTACATTGGGGTTACTCTGGCAGTAATATTTTTCTTTTTAAGCAAAGGCTGCTGAAGAGTAAGTCCACACCACCTCATCTAAATGAGCCTTTCTAAAGTACTCCCAACATTGGTCAAAGAAATGAGACAACTAATGAGGAATTAACAAGTGAACACTAATGAGATTTAGGAATAGCAAGCAGGGAGGAGTAATTTATGGTAAGAGACATAGAAGACCAGAAGGGTATAAAATTGGTGGACATACAAACCCAGAAAGTTTATTTCTGTTTTTTATTTCTTTTTTGGTCAGTTAGCCTAGAGGTGCTCATTTTGTAAGATTTTGTTTTGTTTTAAACTCAGAATTTATCCCTTAAGTGAATTCTTGGAATTATATGCAAATTCTTCCCCAGGGTTGAAATTCTTCCTCTTGTTCTTATTTTTGTAAAACAAACTTCCCCTAGAGAGAAAATCTGTTCACCTTTCTACAGTGACCCTTTTCAGGATGCATCAATGCATCCATTTCATCTTTGTAACCCATCACCTTGCCAACAGGATCAGGGAATACACCAGAAAACTGAAGGCACTTTTTCTTCCCTATCATTATGTCATTTATGGCAGTGACTGATTGGGACACTCCTTTTCAGTTGAGATAAACCATTACTTAAAATAAGATGCAATTTATCAGTGCTATCTACCTAAATGCAGTCAGCTGCCTCTGCAAGAGCTCTGTGACTCCTAATGGAAGGAAACTCTTGAAACAAATAAGGAAAAGAAAAATATAAACTAAAAGTCAGTGGAAAGGGTGAGGCCATTTTCTGTGCAGCCAAGTTGCTTCCTGCCTGACTCTGAGTAGCTCCCTCTCCTATTTTTCTTGTTTATTTTTGGTTTTCATCTCTTATATTACTGGAGATGAAGGCACCTGAGAATGTTTCCTAGGAAAATAATGTAAACGAGTTTTTAAAGTGAATATTCAGGATTTATTTTTTTTAAATCAGGCTGCAGAAGTGTTTCTATCACACCTGTCCCCCCAACATGACTTCCAAGTCATTATTTTCTGAGTAGCCAATGTAGAAAATTAACTGCAATAGTGGTAAGTACACAAATCTACTAGGTCAAGCCAACTGCATAATATTCACACCTCTGTGGTTAATCCATGCTTTTGAAAATGGGGATAAAGGTGGTGTGGGTCTTGCAGCTGCTGATTGAATCCAAGGCAGTTAACAATGATATCCAGGCAAACTATTGCATGCCAATTTCTTAACTTCTTCAATTCTTTCCCTTCAGACTTGAGCTTTTCCTAATAATATGTTCAGCTTAGTGGACTAAAAATAAAGTGCAGATTGTCACAAAAATGAATATAGTAAAGTTTTTACAGTTGCCTTTTTAAACAAAAAAGCCATTTAATTAATATTATTTATCAATGTCAAGAACTTAAAACCAGACCATCTGAGTTATAGAATACTAATACTGAAAAAAAATGTGTGCTTTAATCTTTGCAATGTTCTAATGAATTTTTTCCCCCCCTAACCAGGTTTTTGATTCTAATCTGAGGAAAGAAGAAATGAAATTTTTGAACACTGAATAACAACAGAAAATTAATTTATCTAATGGATTCCCTGTGGAAAGAATAATTTAAAACCAGATTGTTCTAAACTGGAAAAGCAATGTAACTGGAACATTGATTAATTTTAAACTGAACAATAAATCTGAATTGTTCTCTTAGGTACTCAGTATACTCAAGAATCAGTATAAATGGTTTGTAGTTACTCTTATGTAACAAATTAATAAAATAATTTAATTTAGTCTTTGTAGCTTTCTTACAGATACAGAAATGCTTTCAGTGTCTTCTCTGCTCTCTTAGAACTTTCTGGTATAGTCTCCCAGTATGGGTTGAGTTATCTCACAATATTACAATTTTTTCTGCCTGCATGTACTTCATTTAAGGTGTCATTTGAACACATTAATTAGGCATATTATTTTCCTTACAGATCTTGAAAAGTATCAGTTACTTGAAGGCACGTAACAGCATGCTACAATGCATGCAAATCTTGATGAGTGATTCAAAATATGGAATATTTGTTCAGGGATTGCAGCAGAATAATGAATTTGACTTTTTTATTTCTTCTAGTCATGAGAATTTTGAGGGATTCTGCAGGCCATTCTTGGTATTTTCTTGGTGACCAATCTTGCACTCTGGTACTGTTTCACAGATTTCCTTTCATGACCCAGCACTTCATAGAGGAATGACTCCCTTTGTGACTAAGTTGCATCAGGATGAATAAAAGTAGTTTTTGCTTATATGGACAAAGACTTTTGAAAAATGCAGAAGAATGACGTGTTGGAGAAAAATCCTTTGCTAATCTCTCTCACAGGGATTGTCACTATCTTTTCAAGATGGATAGTGTTCAGACACTCCTCTGATGCAATTGTGAGTTGTCCAGCTGCACTGGGAGAGTTTGGTCTGGTGCTGTCAGAGGCCACCAGTCTTTTGATATGCAGGCATTGGGTGGACCCCAGCTTACAACTTCTTTTCTGACAAGATCAAAGCATTTTCCTGCAAGGAAATTGCTCTGTGACTAGCCAGGTTTCTGCAATCCCTACCACACTAAGCTGTCACTGGAAGTTCCACAAAAACTTTGGCTGCCACACAGTATTAGTTTGTTGTTCATGACATTCCCTAAAATGGGAGTTTCTGCTCATCCTGAAAGCTACGTAAGAGCATTTACATACTCAGATCCCAGTGAAAAATGTGTCTGTCTCTTGATGCTAGTAGACATGGTGCAGAACATTTTTTTTAACCAGTTTAGCCAGGTGAGGCATCTGTTTTGTGTCAGTTTGGTGTCCTGATATGTGCAGCCTTCCTGCTGGCATTTGACAGAGACCTGCACTCTGGTTATTTCTGAAATGCATGAGTAACACTGTGTTGTTCTTTCTCCTTTTTCTGACCATAGGCAATTCCAGAGTTCTCAAAGGAGCCATGTATACACTGGATTTCTGTAGTAGGAGTGCAAGCTTCCTTATCAGTGGATGAGGCAGTTGGAGAGGTACTGAGAAAGAGTTCTCATTCTGTTGGTGGCTTGTTCTCTGGGTGAGGCTGGAGGGTAACCCTGGTGTAAACCCCCTTGCTAAATACTTGCCAGCTACTACAGTTTTGGTAGAGTTGGCTGGACCAGCCTGAGTCCCGTGTTTGTGTTTTGGCCCTTGTAAGCAGGTTAGAACCTGTGCAGTTGAGCCATGTAAACCTATCTTCTCTGAGGCTTTAGACAGCCTTCAGTGCAAATCCAGCTGATCTGGCTCCATTTGCCTGTGAAGAGTGAAGCTATATTTCAGTTTCCTCACTGCCAAAATGTCAAGAAGGCTGTAAATGCGTGTGGTTGTCTAAGTTTAATGAAGCTTTTTGTGATACAAGTGTCCAGCTTTCAGAATGGAACTGAAATTGCCTGCATATTTTGCCCAGTGCTGCACCTGGATTGGGGCAACTCCTTGAGGCTGAGAGAAGCAGAGGTGAAGGACTTGGGGGTGCTGGTGGATAAGAGGCTGGACATGACCCTGCAATGCAGCCCAGAAAGCCAATTGTACCCTAGGCTGCACCATAAGGAGTGTGGGCAACAGCTTAAGGAAGGGGATTCTGCTCCTCTGCCCTGCTCTGGCCAGACCCTACTTGCAGTGCTGCGTCCAGCTCTGGGATTCTCAGCACAGGAAAGACATGGACCAAACATGGTCAGAGCAGGTCCAGGGGAAAGATGCAAATAATGATCTCTTATGGAGAATCTCTTATGAGGAAAGGCTGAGCTGGCTTTGTTCAGTCTGGAGAAAAGAAGGCTCTGGGATTACTTTCTTGTGGTGCTTAAGTCTATAAAGGAGGCCCTACAAGAAACCTGGAAAGGGACTTTTTACAAGAGCATGTAGTGTCAGGCCGAGAGAGTGGCTTCAAACTGAAAGAGTGTGGGCTTAGTTCCAATATTGATAAGAATGTCTGCTGTGAGGGTGGTGAGGCCCTGGAACAGGTTGCCCAAAGAAAGGGTGGATGTGCCCATCCCTGGAAGTGTTCAAGGCTAGGTTGGATGGGGCTTTGAGCATCCTGGCCTAGTGAAAGGTTGATCTTTAATGGACCTTAAAGATCACCCAGTTCCTATTCCTGTCCATGGCAATGGAATAGGAACTGGGTGATCTTTAAGGTCCATTCCAACCCAAGCCATTCTATGGTTCTGTGATTCTACACAGCCTCTGACAATTTGCTGGGTGTCACATCTCTGAGCTGGTATCCTCTCAGCTGGTAACCAATAGCCTGGACATCAAAGCCTGCACATCTGACTAATGAAACCTTGAATCATTCTGTCCTTTAATTAAAGCATGTTCCTTTAATATGTTCCTCTTACTTAAAATTATGTGAGAATTATTTCCTAGAAGAAAATGCCTAATGAATGCACTTTTATTTAGTATTTTCTATGTATTAGATAAATAAGGGGGAAAGCTTGAAATATCCTGGGGTATGTTGGGCAGTTGCAGGGGATACATATGTCAACCTCAAGCATGATTTATCTCATGTGCCTTTTCTGACAGTTGTGACTTAACGGCTGCATTTTTCTCCAGGCTCTCAGGAGGATAAATATCTTTTTAAGTTTCTAGCTTTGTGGTAGAAGAGTAAATGTCTGTTTGCCACTGTAATTTATCTGAGTCATTCTGGGAGAGGTGGAGCAATTGAAGCGTGACTATTAGCATAAATAAGGGGACCCTCTTCCTGAGGGTAGAATACTTGTGCTGTCTTTTCCCCATAACAACTGCTACAGCTAATTGATGGGCAAAATGCTTTAAACTGGAAGACTCAATATATTGTGCTTTGGCCTACTGTGATATTCTTTTACATTTCAATTTGGAGTTAACAAGAGCAGAGCAAGGAAGGAAGAGGAATATTTTTGCAGCAAGTGCAACAGTAGAATAGACCAGAGCTGGCATTTCACATACACCAAAAGTGGTTTTTCTTTTAAAAAGAATATACAATATATTCTTTTAAAAGAGTGTTAAGTAGTTGCCCTTGCCAATTTTGTTTCTGAAAAAATGCATAAAAAATCTTTTTTTTGTACTTTCAAACAGTTGTTTTACAACATCCTCTAAACAGAGTTTTGGGGTTTGGGGTTTTTAGTTTTTGGGTTGGGGTTTTTTGATTTTGTTTGTTTGTTTGTTTGTTTGTGGTTTTTTCATGTGGAAACACCAACACCGATTCCGGGGGGAGCCGCTGGTGAGTCACCTGCAGGCCAGGAGTGCGGGTGGCAGCCACCGGGCCTGCCACGGCAAAAACACACCTTGGTTGTAGTGAGAACATGGAAGAGCTTCTTCCAGGTGTTTCCTTAAAC